TTTTACAGGTGCCATATTACTTCAAAATGGAGGAAATTCATTTATGTCCGAGGATAAATACTAGATGCTATCTGTCGGAGACATTGAAAAAATTGAAAGATCTATTAACAGCGGAAGAGTGGCTGTACTTTAAGAACGAGTCGCAGTTTCAACATTTATTCCATGTCCAATTTGAAGACACCTTGAAAATGGCGCCTGTGGCATATCTGATAAATCATGCAGTGAGGGTCGGTGATGATAAAGAGATGTGGTTTGTCTATAATGGTGTACCAATCAGATACTCGATCATCGAGCACACACTAATATGCGGATTAAAGTGCGGTGAATATCCGGGAGGGTGAGAGTATAAGAGAAAAGGTCACTTTAGAGTTAAGACATTTGGAAAAGGAAAGGTGACTAAACAAAGTGTGCTCAGGCAACTAGAGAAGACATCTACTCATAGGGTTGCCGACCGGAAGAAACTGGCAATTGTGATGTTACTTGGAGGAGTCCTAGATCATGGTACAACAGATGATCACATAAACCATGATTTGGTAGACATGGTTAATGATTTGGATTTTTGTGAAAAATTTCCCTGGGGACGTTATACATTCGAAAAAATCATTGATCAAATACGAAAGATCTTCATGAGTGGAACACCAAAGACTAAGTGGCATTGTCGGGGGTTTATAATACCGCTTATGGTAAGTTATTGTTTTGCTGTATATTTTATTTGAAAGTTGTTATATTATTTGTTATTTGTGGTGTGATATAATATTTAAATGTTGCATTGCAGTTGCTGCCTTTCGAATGTATCTTGAGCTTGGATACCAATGGATGGTACAAAGACATTGAAGATGCGGATTCGACGTGTCCCAGAATGTGTAAGAAGTCAATGAAACAAAATGTCAGATGGAGCTTCAGTACATTGATAAACAAGATTGGCATCGGATCAGAGGTACTCACATGGTCACTTGGTCCCTTGGTCCATAGTCCCATGATCCCTTGGTCCCTTGGTCTCATGGTCACTTGGTCCCATGGTCCCATGTTTCAGTTTTAGTAACAATGATTAACATTTGTTTTCAGGGAATCAAAAGTGTACTCAAGAAAGAAGAGAGTGAAGAAGCACTGCTTTATGATCTAGAGGAGTACGAGAGAAGTACAAATGAAAAAGTGATCACTTGGATGAAATATCTAGAGAAGAACCCGGAAAGCGTATACTGGAAGAGGATTCATGAATCGGAAATTCGTTCCAGAAAGTCTCTGAAAAAGAAAATGAAGGGTAAAGTTTTGATAGACGGAGAGGATGAAGAAGAAGAAGAAGAAGAAGAAGAAGAAGAAGAAGAAGAAGAAGAAGAAGAAGAAGAAGAAGAAGAAGAAGAAGAAGAAGAAGAAGAAGAAGAAGAAGAAGAAGAAGAAGAAGAAAAAGAGCGAGAAGATAGAGAAGAACGAGAACAACAACAACAACGAGAACAACAACAGGTACAACAACAACAACAACAACAACGCTACCAAAATATACGGGGAGGGACGGGAATCTCAAATCTGGAAGCACTTAGGAGGGATTTGATGCTGGAAATAAAAGCTATCGAGACGAGAATAATTGATGCTGTCGAGACCAGAGTAATTGACGCTATGAGAGTCCTTTTAAAGGATGCCGATCTCCTTTCGGTTACAGCGAACAAACCTGAGCATCACAATCTGATAGACAAAGAGGGAAGGAGGACAAGTCCTGTAGGTTCTGTCGGAACAAATGAATATTATGATCAGGATTTTGATCTGTATGAGTTGAGAGCTCGAGATGATATGACTTCTTTTGGACCTCAACAAGAGAAGACAAAGCATCAGGAGAAGGACACCTCATCTAAGGACAAAGAGTCCTTACCAAAGGAGAAAGATGGAGAGTCAGAAGCAGCAAGTAAGTATCCGAGCATTCCATCATGTTATCTTGTCACATGATCACTTAGCCTCATGATCACATGGTCACAGAGTCTCATGGTCACATGGTCACATGGTCATGCTTTAAACTGATTGTATTATTTGATTTATATTCAGCACATGTCGAGGGGACCCTTGATGAGGGAGAAGATTCTGGAGGGAAGGATGATGAGGAGGAAGATGAATCTGAAGAAGAAAGTGACAACGATGATGGCGGGAACGCAGAAACAGCAAGTAAGTATTCGACCATTTCATCATGTTATCATGGTCACAGAGTCACATGGTCACAGAGTCACATGGTCATGCTTTAAACTGATTATATTATTTGCTTTATGTTCAGCACATGTCGAGGGGACCCTTGATAAGGGAGAAGGTTCTGGAGGGAAGAATGATGAGGACGAGGACGAATCTGAAGAAGATAGTGACAGCGATGATGGCAAGGATGATGACGACAACGATGAAAAGAATGATGAAGAGGCATACAAAGAATCCTCTGCTCCATCCGGTGAGGATGAAGATGAGTTTGCTGACGATGAAGATAAATCTGATGGGGCAGACAAATCTGATGAAACAATGGAAGTTGTTGAAACCAATGTAACTGAAGGTCCTAATGCCACTGAACTGCCATCTGAAGGTCAAACTCCCTTGAAAGAACTTGTACCTGACTCTTCTGATGCACCTTTGATGACAAAAAATAAAAGGAAAGTTTTTGATGAACCCTCCAAAAGAAGCCCCTTCGTAGAACCAATCTCAAGTGGTCCACCGGCGAAAAGAACTCGGTCCATCGCAGTAGTAGGCAGAGGGAGAGGGAGAGGCAGAGGGAGAGGCAGAGGTATGGAAAGAGGGAGAAGTACGGGCAGAGGCAAGGGATGAGGAAGAGGTAGAGGGAAAAAAACCCAGGTGAAAGAAGATGTTGCTGAGGTTGAGGATACAATTGTTGAGGCTGAAGAAGATGTTGCTGAGGTTAAGGATACAGTTGCTGAGGCTGAAGAAGATGTTGCTGAGGCTGCAACAGAGAAAGGAGACCCACCTTCATCGGATGAAGGGCAGGAGTTCGTATGGATTCCAGATCGGGTTCACAGTAACGGTTTTCCAATCCGAAATCAATCATTTGTTGAATCAGCTAGTCCACAAGTCGAGGCTTTAAGGAACTTTATGAAAAAACCACGAGAAGAGCGTTTATGGATGTCTGCCCTTGATGTAACAAGGATGGCAAATTTCTGGGATGAGCTCATACAAGTCGGAAGATGGCTTGCAGATATTGTAAGTTTACATCATTTACACTTTTCCACCTCTTATATGTGATTTCATGGTCCCATGGTCCCACTATAGTAAGGTTTATATCATAATATTTGTTGATATTTGTTGTTGTTGTTTTTAGCACATGAGAGAGGCAATGTATGAGCTACGCATCCATGTTTTAAAGAATCCTGTGACCTATATAAGGAGCAACTACATGGTAAGTGATACTATGTTCCCGGAATGCTTGTAGCGGTGGGAAAACTCTGGAGACCTGACTACTTTGGGCGATCTCGAATCCTACTTCAATGGAAAACTTCCAATTGGGTGTGCTGGGACACCGTTGATCAGCTCTGATGGATTTGTAAGTGTTGTCAGCATTCCATCAGCCGAAAGCGATCAAGTACGCTGCCATTGGGTCACCATTAAAGTTATTACGACGAAAAAGTGCTCCAGGTTTATGATTGTCAATCGACAGCTCGAGAAAACGTAGAAAAAGTAGTTCAACAGTTAAATCATGCCATTCCGAAGGCATGTATCTTGGCTGGATCAGAGGCATTCTCAGACGGCGATGTACTTGACGTTGAGTATGTGGAAGGACTGCCGCAAAATGCTAGCGGTTCTGATTGCGGTGTTTTCGCGGTAAAGTATGTCGACGCGATTTGTCTTGGTCAAGAACACAAGTTGTGCCCATTGATATGTGACGACAATATCACAAAGATCCGTGAGCAGGTGGCAGCTTATATATTTTCAGCAGGCTGTGCTGAGAAGAAGAAGAAGCAGAAGCGCAAATCTTGAACTTTTATTTTAATCTTGTTATTTTTTGTTGGATTTGAACCGAATCATGATTACCATTACCTCATTTTGTTTGGTGGTTAAACTCTAAGTTACTCTAAGTTATGAACGTTTAGTTATGGAGTTTGTTTATTTAGCATGTTTAATATTTTGAGGGATTTTTTTTTGGATGAAAATTTTGGAGGGAAAACATTTTGGTGCGAAATTTTGTGGAGGAAAAATATTAAAGAAAAAACCATCGAAAAAACTACACATTACGTTGAATAGTCAAAATGGGGTCCACGAAAACTCAGAAAACACATATTCTTTTGAAAGTTTTTATGTGGGTCCCATAATACATTTCGGTCACAATGGATCACAGTGGGTCATAATGGGTCGATTTAGTTCATTTTTTAAAAGTAGTCAATGATAATGCTTTTTACACCTCTGAAACTGACTTTTACAGTATATTTAACTATAAAATAATATTTATTACAATTTTGGATTCCAAAGTTATCCTCACATATGTGCTCCTTAAGTGTTCTTTGTTTCATGAACACTTTTGACAATTTTGGTGTATTTGCATTACAAATCTGTCATAATGTTTTGTAATTTTGTTATACGCACTATATATTTGCTATATAAACTCTGATTAACTATGCCAAAACTAAAAAATCAAGATTTGGTTTATAATTATCTTCGTCACTTGGTCACAGGTCACAGTCGGTCACAATGGTCACATAGTGCAAAATTGCACTCGGGTCACATAGGTCACATGCAGGTCACAATAGGTCACAACGATTATTTATATGAAAACTTATCTAATCAGTTACACGAATACTTTTAAAATGATTACACGAATACATTTAAAATTTTCAGACAAATTAATTAATTCAGAAATATTTTAACAAATACATAACAATATTATACACATATTTTAACAAGTACATAACAACATTATGCAAAGTTCGATCCTACTTCTCCGCCATTATAATAACAAATTTCAACATTATACATTATACATAACAACATTATTGTACAAATACATAGTTCAATTTTCATTAAGCATTCTATCCGAAAATTGTTGATGTTGATGCTCGTGTTGCACAATAGATTTTCTTTCGGGCTTCACCGGGACCAGGAAACCGATTTTGTATAGGCGGCAAAACCATAAGATTTGCAATATTTGGGTCATCGATGCTCCATTCACAACAATCGGGGACCGGATAAACTGTTTCTTGATAAGCAAGACGCCATGTCTCTCGCAGATAACATGGAGAACATAAATTTGGTATAATACTCGATTTACCAACCTTATGAACTGCTGCCATGGCATGACTGCATGGGATCTTGTCGATATCAAATACTCTGCAACTGCACGTTCTATGTGCAATGCTGACCAAGTGTTTTCTACCATTTTCATCCCTCACCTCAAACTCCTCTGTATTAGAGTTCAACATAGTAACCTCATATGTACATGTCATCTCGTATCGCGCATGTAACACTTTATCAACATGCGGTGTCAGATTTTGAGAATCATCGGCAGATTCTGCTTCCACTCTATGCCTATCGAACCATTCCACTGTCTTTGAAAGATAAATGTCAAGCAACGTCCCTAGCACCAGAAATCTTTTAGCTTTCTTCAACACAGAGTTGATTGATTCGGCCCCATTTGTAGTCAATAAGTTATACCGTTCTCGCTTAAATTTACATCTCGCCCACTTCTCTGGGTCAAGTTCTTCTTTCTGCATATATTCATCCACTTTTGGATACCTACACAAAAATCAAATGGTCACAAGATCACAGTGCACAAGGTGACATGGTCCCACAGTCCCACGGTCACACGGTCCCATAGTCCCATGGTCACACGGTCCCATGGTCCCATGGTCCCTTGGTCCAGAATCAATCAATTGATAATAATGGTTAGAAAACTCTTACATGTTCTTTAGATCATTAAATATGTCTTCAAACTCTTGCAATGTATAAGCTTCCGTGCATCTGAAGAATCTTTCAGCGACAGTTTCACCTCTTGAACTCTTTCTTTCCATGCCTCGATTAACCTTCACTTTCAAATTCTGCGCTATGTGCCTCGCACAAAATCCATGGCCAGCTTCTTTGTACACTTCTCTGACGGCCTTTATTATGCTTCTGTAACGACGACATCATGTCCATCTGAGATTGCCATTGTTAACTTTTCTATAAACCACCTCCATGATGCATCTTTTTCTCTGTCGATTATACCCCAGGCTAACGGATATTGGTGGTGGTCACCGTCTTGTGCAGTTGCAACGACCAATGTGCCTTTGTACTGACCTGTCAAAAAGGTTGCATCAATAGCAACAACTTTACGCAAGTAGTTCCATCCTCTTACCGCTGCACCCAATGCAATGAAGAGGTATTTGAAGCTTTTCTCATCTTTGTCCAACTCAAGACTTACAATTGTTTCGGGATTTCTCTTTTGCAGCATATACAACCACCCGGAAAGTTTCCTAAAATGCTCAATAGGATCACATCGAATCTCACTTTCAGCTATGTGTTTGTCTCATAATGCTGTCAAATACATTACAGTTGTGCCGTATTTGGATTTCACACGGTCTATTATTTCATTTGCTGAAGGAGTACAATCGAGTTTACCGGGAAATTCTTCCTTCAAATAATCTCTAACCAATTTCTTTGTACCTTTCATAGTTTCACTTGATTCTGATACGGGCTTGCAACTATGAATATGATTGTGTTTTCTTACACTCCAACGTTTCGAGTTTGAGATCAATGTCGTACGTAACTTCCAATTACACCCCGATCCAGCAAATTTACATCTGATCTCCCACAATTTCTTAGAAGACTTCAGTGTAATATAACTGAAACGAGCCATTGCTGCATCCTTTCGAACATATTCTTGTGCTGCGTCTTTATTGCTGAACTCATGTCCAATTGTTATATTCAATCACCACCACCATCATCAGCCCTAACACCATCACATTCAGTCACTCTAACTTCTCCACAATCACTTGAATGTTCACTATCAGAAAGATGTATAACTTCAGCCACATTATTACTCCCAACTTTACTCTTAAAATTAGGGCTCAATAAAACACAATCCTCATAATCTACCATATTCTGTCTTCCATTTCCTCCAACAACACTTCCATCAGCATGAATTACAGGTTGCGCTTCAACATTTTGCTCATATTCACCTTTCACATGTGCCTCTTCAATCTCCACGTAAAACATACCTCGCATTCCATTTATTTTATCCAGCAGATAAATATGAACATGTTTGTCATTCCACAAGTAAGTGGGCTTTCTGTGTGAGGGCAGTTTCGACAATTCGTAGCAATAAAGACGCAGCCTCGGTCGAGTCAGAACGTGCTGTCAATGTAATGGATGTTGCCTCGGTCGAGTCAACATGTGACTCGGACTGAGTCAACACGTGTTCGTCATTGGAATTCCGCGTTTCGCTTCGGTCGAGTCAAAACTTTGACTCGGACCGAGTCAGAACGCTGTTCGTTCTGCCAGACGAAAAGCTGCGCTCAAAACCCCCGAAATCGCCGAAATCAACCGAAAAAACTCATGGGTAATCAAGAATAGGCATGTATGTGCAAAGATCTGTGTCCTAATCACTCAAAAACTCATAAAAACTTACTGATTTTGTGAAAATCACAAATCTCGCTCTCAACCCAAAAATCTTTCGCAATTCCGGAATAAATATGCGTAAATCTTGGCGAAATAGGTATGAATCGTCAATAAGCTACAAAATATAAGTGAGGGGACACATACCGTACGGATTTAGACTGCGAAATCGGTGGAGGCGACTCGGGGTGATAGAGACCGAGTGAAGAGTGGTTTTTTCGCGAAAAGGGAAAAAAATGGGGAAGAAAACGGCTGAGCGGGGTAAGTAGGGTTTCGAAACTTTGACTCGGACCGAGCCAACTCTTGACTCGGTCGAGTTAGTTTACCTTATGCCGATTCGTCCTTCGCGAGTTGATCGGTCGAGTCAGAACTCTGTGACACGATCTGAACTCCGTTTCTACGCTCGACGACCTGCAAATCAAGTTCTATGTCCCTGTACCCGAGGGAAAACACCATGTAGGCTCCCAAATCCAAAAAGAAAAGTCTAAAACCCAAACAACATCTCAAAAACAAAACAAAAACCCCGGGTTGCCTCCCGAGAAGCGCTTCGTTATGGTCATTAGCTAGACCGTGCATGAACTCAGGCTGATGGTGGTATTGTGAGAGGAAGAACGCCTCTCTCACCTACAGGGTCGACAGGGTTATACAGCTTCAGACGCTGTGCATTTACCTTGAACGTACCACCCGTGCTGTTATACAGCTCAATTGCGCCGTGGTCGTAAACTCGATGGATCTTGAATGGACCGGACCACTTAGACTTCAGCTTACCTGGAAACAATCGCAAACGAGAGTTGAAGAGAAGGACAAGATCACCTGAGTGGAATGATCGCGGAATGATGTGTCGATCGTGCCATTTCTTCGCTCTCTCCTTGTAGATTTTCGCGTTCTCATACGCATCAAGTCTGATCTCCTCAAGATGGTGTAGCTGAAGCACGCGTTTCTCTGCAGCGGTCTTCATGTCATAGTTGAGCGCCTTAATTGCCCAATAAGCTTTATGCTCGAGCTCAACCGGTAGATGACATGCTTTTCTATAGACGAGTTGGAACGGTGTCATACCAATCGGCGTTTTGAAGGCCGTTCAGTATGACCAATCCTTCCATGATTTAGCGACAGTCTTCTCCAGAATGGACTTGATCTCCCGGTTAGAAATCTCCACCTGTCCACTAGTCTGAGGATGATACGGAGTAGCAATCCGATGATGAACCCCGTACTTCTTCAGTAGTGTCTCAATGATCCGGTTGACAAAGTGTGCGGCGCCATCGCTAATCACAACACGAGGAACACCAAAACGTGGAAAAATAATCTGTCTAAATAGTCTAACCACAGTCTTAGCATCATTCCTCGCGCTAGCCAAAACCTTTACCCACTTAGTCACATAATCAACTGCAACTAAGATGTACACATTCCCACAAGATGATGGAAAAGGTCCCATAAAGTCTATGCCCCAAACATCAAAAGATTCCACTTCTAGAATATAATTCTGAGGCGTCTCATGGCGTCTAGAAATGTTACCTGTGCGTTGGCAAGAATCACATGAGGCGACATACCTATGGACATCCTTGAACATCGTAGACCAATAGAATCCCGCTTGTAGAATCTTTGTTGTGGTCTTCGAAGCGGCGAAATGACCTGCATAATCAGAAGAGTGGCAATGGAAAATTACCTGTTGCACTTCTTCCTCGGGAATACATCGTCTGAACATCCCATCGGTACCACGCTTGAACAAGAATGGATCGTCCCAAAAATAATCCCGTACGTCATGGAGGAACTTCTTCCTTCCATTATAGTTACGTTCGGACGGGATCACTCGATTTGTTCCTCTCGCAAAGAATCATCGATCGGGAGAGGATCGGGTATCGCAAGGCGTGAAAGATGGTCTGCAACTATGTTCTCCGTGCCTTTGCGATCCCGAATCTCAACGTCAAACTCTTGTATGAGTAGCATCCATCAAATCAGTCGAGGTTTGGCGTCTTTCTTCGTCACCAAGTACTTCAAAGCCGCTTGGTCTGAGTTATCACCTTCCGTCCCACCAAGTACGACCTGAATTTCTCAAAAGCAAACACTACAGCAAGTAACTCTTTCTCGGTAGTAGTGTAATTTACCTGCGCATCATCAAGAGTCCGACTCGCATAGTAGATGGCGTGGTGTTTGTGATCCTTCTTCTGCCCCAGCACTGCTCCAACCGCATAATCGCTAGCATCGCATATCAGCTCAAACGGTAGAGTCCAATCGGGGGGCTGTATGATCGGTGGTGAGATCAGAGCTGCCTTCAAAGTCTGGAAGGCCTTCGAGCATTCTGCAGTAAACCTGAAAGGTACATCCTTCGCCAATAGCTCGGTAAGTGGTCTAGAGATCTTGGAGAAGTCCTTGATGAATCGCCGATAAAATCCCGCATGTCCTAGAAAACTGCGGATGTCTTTGACGTTCACGGACGGTGGGAGCTTCTCAATAACCTTTATCTTTGCTCTGTCTACCTCGATTCCCCTAGAAGACATCTTATGTCCTAAAACAATCCCTTCTTGCACCATGAAGTGACACTTCTCCCAGTTGAGGACTAAGTTGGCCGCTGCACACCTGTCTAAAACTCGATGCAAATTGGCCAAACAAACGTCAAATGAGGGTCCATGGACAGAGAAATCGTCCATGAACACTTCCATAATATCATCAATCACATCAGAAAATATAGCAGTCATGCATCTCTGAAAAGTGGCAGGTGCATTACATAATCCAAAGGGCATACGACGATAAACAAACGTGCCATAAGGACAAGTAAAGGTGGTCTTCTCCTGGTCGCTCAGGTGAATGGGGATCTGAAAGAATCCCGAGTAACCGTCTAGAAAGCAAAAGTACGAGTGGAGTGCAAGTCTCTCTAACATCTGATCAATAAAAGGCAAAGGAAAGTGATCCTTACGGGTGTTGGAGTTCAACTTACGATAGTCGATGCACATCCTCCATCCCGTGACCGTCCGCGCAGGAATAAGCTCGTTCTTCTCGTTCTGGATCACGGTCATGCCTCCCTTCTTGGGTACCACCTGCACAGGACTCACCCATGTACTATCCGAAATAGGGTATATAATACCCGCATCTAACAGTTTCATGACTTCCTTCCTAACTACCTCTTTCATCGTCGGGTTCAATCTACACTGATGCTCAACAGAGGATTTTGACTCATCATCTAAATGAATACGATGCATGCATAACGAAGGGCTAAGTCCCTTAATATCATCTAAAGTATATCCAAGAACACCCCTATAACTAACAAGCAAATCACTCAACTGTTCCATCTGGGGTTCTAGCAATGCAGCATTCACTATAATCGGATAAGTCGAGTTAGGTCCAAGGAAAACATACCTGAGCCCTTCGGGTAACAACTCCACCTTCGGGGCGTTCTCTAAACTCCAATCAGCTTTATTCAGCGTCTCCGTGGTAAGTGGTGGCTCTCTGAGCTCTAGAACGTCTTTAGCAGTCATCGTGGAGGGTTCGGAGACGTTCCGGGCCGGCTCGGTGTCGGTGGTGGGGCTAAGAGATCTGACTCGATCCGAGTCAGAACGGAGGAAGGCCGAGTCAACCCTTGACTCGGTCGAGTTAGAATTCTGTGACACCGAGTCTGAAGCTGACAAAGGTTCGAAGTGTTCCAGCGACTTGACTCGGTCCAAGTCAAGCTTTGACTCGGTCGAGTCAGAGTACAGAAGCTCGAATTTCTCCTCGGTTTCATCGTCTAACGCCTGTATGAGCTCCCGAATATCCTCCCAATTGCTGTATATACTCGCATCTGATGCCAGGAGGGATATTTCCAGTGGATCAATGTCTCGGAACTGATCGAAGACCTCCTGCGTCAAGATCTCGTGTACATCAACATAACACGCTGAATCGGTAGAGGATGGCTGCTTCATATTGTGGTCTAAGGTGAACTCAACAGTCTCGTCACCTATCTTCATGGTAAGACGACCAGCTCGGACGTGTACAACCGCATCAGCCGTGTTCAGAAACGGTCGACCCAAAATAATCGGTATCTTCGAGTCTTCATCCATGTCTAAGATAACAAAATCAACGGGG